CCCCCAGAGAAAAGCAGTCACTCCTGTCTCCCCGGTCTCCAGCCACAGTCCGTCCTCACCCGGCCTGTGACCGAGCATTTCTATCTCTGGCATAGGACCCTATGTGGAGTCTCCAAAGGCAGCAGATCCCTGTGGTGCGCTCCCGCGCCGTTCCTCCCACAGGAGGAAGGGGAGTCTCCCCAGATCTGCCGCTTGTTGTGTCCCTACTGGAGAAGCAGTGGCCCGACTGTGCCACGGACCACGGTTTATGTCAACCCCGAGCTGACAGCCCACACCTCGGCTCTGTCTCTGCAGCCGGCTTCCCCGCTCCAATCCCTGGGAGCTCTGCCACACTCAGGCATCCCTGGTCTTTCTGTGACCCTGAGGGTCCTGAGACCACACTGTCCCACGAGGGTTCCCCCACCACCCCCCCCCCCCCCGCTTAGCCACTGGAGCAACGCCCCTCAGCAGAGCAGACTTCTAAATATTCCAGATTTTGTTCTCCAGGGCTCTATCACTTGCCAGCAGTGGCTGACAGAGGCCCCCTCCCCCGCCGTCTATCCTCCTGAATATTGCCTCGGATTCACTTCTCCACACGTCCTACCTTCCAGAAAGTGGTTGCTTTTCTGTTCAGAGAGTTGTTGCTATTCTTTTCTTCGATCTCCTGTTGAGTTTGTAGGTGTTCAGAATGGTTTGATCCCTATTCAGCTGAATTCCTGAGACCAGACGAAATCCAGGTCTCCTACTCCTCCACCATCTTGCTCCGCCCCTGCACTATCCATGTAAACTCTTTACGAATAGTATTTGTGCCTATTTTTACCAACTATGTGCTGCAGTTCTAACAGAGTGCCTAGCACATAGTAGGTGCTCAATAAACATTAATAGAAGCATTTCTTATTTATGAATTCATCAACGGAGCAGTTTGGAACTCTTGTTGCATTTCAGAATCAGCTGGAAAGCTTGTATTTCTTTACTTCATCAATATCCACCCTTGGGCCCCATTTCAGACAATTAATTCAGAATATCTGAGGTATGAGCTCAGGCAGTGTTACTTATAAAGCTATCCAGGTGATTCAAATGTACAGCTCTTGGATGAGAACCAGTGATCGAACCTCTCCTTGAGGCTGTGTTAAATTCCCCCTGAGGGCAATGGTTGGACCCAGGGAGTGAAGGGGAGGCTGCCAGCCCTGGCAGGTTTGCTAGAGGATGAATTCTAGGCCAATGTATCTCAACTTTCTGAGAGTGAATTTCCTGCATGGCCTTCCTGATTTAGACTCTAGTTGGGAGAAGAAAGAGAGGTCAACATCATCTCTGCACACACTCATGCTGTCCTTGGGCTCAGGCACACAGATTCCCTAGTGAGCAAGATAATTATAATAAATTGGAGCAGAGACATCTATGCTCTGTCAATATCTGTCCACTAGGGGACAAACTGACATATGATCAGACTCAGAGCTTCCCCAGAAACTGCCCAGGTGCTACTAGGCAGTAATGACTTTCTGTCAATGTACAGTTGGATGGGATTGGAAAAACTCTGGCCCTGGATGCCCCATCGGGAAACCATATTACAATCTTCCAATCTGTGTTTCTTCCTGAAATGGCAAGTGAACCTCCCTGCTCCAGTCCAGCTCTCTACCTGCAGTGAGAAGTATCTTTTGAATGTGAAATTCTCCCTCCGTCTGCACATAATGTGTCAAGGCAGGCATTACTTATCCACTTTACAGATAAAGAACTGAGGTCAAGAAGAGGTTGGTGATTTGTAGACAATCACAGAGTTGGCAAGCAAATGCCATAGACAGGACTCGAACCCTGACCAATTTGTTTCCAAGTCTCTTTCTAATATAGCCCTTTTAACCCGTGTTAGTGAACCAATTTGCTCATGGGGTGGTTAGGAGCAAAACTTGGTTTTGAATGACTTGGATTTGAATCAAAGCATCTCCCCTTCCTAACTGTGTGGTTTTAAGCAAGTTACACAACTTTTCTGAGCCTCAGCAACCCTATCTGAAATTAAAAGGTAATACTACTCATCTTTTAGTATCTTTCTAAAGAAAAATATCTTAATATAGGTGAAATGCTTTATAAAATTCTTGGCCCATGGTATTCAGCAAAAAGGTAGTGTTAGTACACAATTGTTATTAATATTTTCCTGCTGGGTCTTTGATTGGTTATTCTTTTTCCTTTAGAATAACATTCTTTAAAATTTATGTTTTATTTAAATTCAATGTAATTAACATGTAGTATATTATTAACTTCAGGGGTAGAATTTAGTCATTCATCAGTGGCATATAACACCCAGGGCTCATTACATCACATACCCCTCCTTAATGTCCATCACCCAGTTACTCCATGCCCCCATCTAACTCCCCTTCAGCAACCCTCAGTTTGTTTCCTTAGTTAAGAGTCTCTTTTAGCATTCTTAAACTCCTTTCTTAACACAACCATACAACTTGCTAACTTAAATTACTGATCCCATTATAACAGAATACCTGTGAAATGTAGTACAAAACAAATACCAAATGTACAAACAAAAATTCCAAATCACCCTCATGATTAATGAAAATTCAAAATTATAAATCAAAATGTCAACAAGTTAGAAAAATAAAATGTTGAAAAGTAAAATCAGGGCGCCTGGGTGGCTCAGTTGGTTAAGCGACTGCCTTCGGCTCAGGTCATGATCCTGAAGTCCCGGGATCGAGTCCTGCATCGGGCTCCCCGCTCAGCGGGGAGTCTGCTTCTCCCTCTGACCCTCTTCCTTCTTGTGCTCTCTATCTCTCATTCTCTCTCTCTCAAATAAATAAATAAAATCTTTAAAAGAAAAAGAAAAAGTAAAATCATTCTGCACTTCATATCCATAACACAATGACCAGTTATAGCTTATTCCAGAATGCAAAGATGGGCCAATACTGGAAAACTTACTAATATGATGGGCCTCATATTATCAATGAGAAGATATAGTCAGGGTTAATTAATATGAACTCTTAACAGATCAGTATACCTCTTAAAGTTGTGTATACATTTTTTTTCTCAACTTGAAAAAAAGTTTATAATGTTCCCTAGATATAAAAACATACAAATATAATCAGACGTTAATAATCTTCAAAAAGTAAAAAAATAAATTTTAACAATCTTTAAAAAGTAAAAAGTTCAATTATACAACTATATATATGTATATGTGTACATACACATATATATATCATAAAATTCAACCAAATCTGATTAAAAATATATCTATCTAGATACCCAACATTATATTTGTTAAAGACATTTCACATAAGAAATCAGTTAAGTGTCGTCTTCTCTTACTTCCATCATATGTTGTAAAGATACACACCCAACATTTAACCACAGCTATCTCTAGCTGGTAGGCTTACACATTATTTGCATTTTCTTACTTGAAGTTATTGAAGGGAATATATCAGTAGATTTAGTTCATGTTTATTATAAACATGCTACTGTAATAATATATTTTGGTAGCTATTTATGTTAGATACATGAAATACAAAAAGAAAGCAATTAAAAAAACTTAATTTCACAAAGGCCTCTCATAATAATCAGAGAAGAATATTGTGGGTTGGGGAGATAAGAACCAGCATACGTTGATATCCATTATGCATAGGGAAACATGGTTTAATTCCATTTTAACCCTCTCTTCCCATTCTTCTTCTGAACAGTGCTCTTGGACACGATCCCAGTGAATGGAAGCACTCTCTTTCTTCCATTTCCCCACACTGTGCTTATTCAGGGCTTGCCTTTAGAGTTTCAGTCACCTTACTCACCAACTCTTCGGTTGAGTTGAGCTGGGCTATGAGTACCTGTGAGGTCTGAGGAACTGGAAAAAGCCATTGGAGAGAGCAGGGATGCTAACGGGTCATCACAGTTGTCTATAACGATAAGAGAGAAAGAAAGCAAATTCTATTAGCAAGACATAGCCCGTAAAGAGAGGAATCATGGCATTAGCCACCACCATTTTTTAACTACTGCTCTGAACAAGGCCAGTACCACTTGTTTCCATGTGCTATTTCATTTACTCCTCACAGTCCTGAAAGACAGGTATAAATTTCTTTCACAGTTGGAGACACTGGCTTTCAGAGATGTTAAGAAGGGTATCCAAGGTCACAACGCTAGAAAATAGCGTAGCCAGAAATCTCACTGATTTGTTTATCATCTGCTCCTTTAATCAATCACTTGAACAAGTTTATGGTTTTTGAGCTTATTCTAGAAGAAGGGAGACTATTGAAGGGAAGATACAATAGTTTACATGTTTTCCCATCCTCAGTCCCTGAGGACTCCTGCCATAGGTGTATCTAGATGGATAGAATGGTTTAGAATGTCTCACTCCCAGTTGTGTGAAAATCTTTGGAAATTGAAAGACTAATTCTAATAACTAATTTCTATTCCACAAAGTAAAGGAGAATAGTCCTCGATCTTGTACAATATTGAATCTGATATTTATTTCAGAAGCAGTCCTTCTAGCCTTCCCTAATGTAACAGGTAGGATCTTTAAGGTTTCTTTGATGTTGTCTAAATGTGGAACAGGATGGGGTCATGGGGAGAGATGTGGAACTGACAACATAGACCTGTTCCTCCAGACTGACCATGCAATCTCATGCACAGGACCCTGCTCTTCACATAGAAAACTGGTCATCTAAATGTTCTGTAACCATTCATTTGTTTGCATCTTACACTAAATGGCACACTCTTTGTGGGACTTTAGCAAATAATCTGATACATAATAACCCTTCAATAAAGGTTTGTTGAAAGAAATGGATGGGGAAGGAAGGAAGGAACGAAGGAAGGAAGGAAGGAAGGAAGGAAGGAAGGAAGGAAGGAAGGAAGGAAGGAAGGAGGGAGGGAGGGAGGGAGGGAGGGAGGAAGGAAGGAAGGAAGGAAGGAAGGAAGGAAGGAAGGAAGGAAGGAAGAAAAGAAGGAAGGACTTAGTTCACACAACAGTACCCACATGTTTTTCCTATTTTTCCATTTTGTACACAACTGACTTTTCAGGACATTGCAAAATGATATCATTGAATCTAGACATATCTCATTCAAACACAATTTTATGTCATTCAGTTTGAAGGTAAACTTCATGTATTAAAGTCTCTCAAGAAAACCGATTTGTTTCTTTTTTTTTTAATGTACATTGGATAGGAGGCTCTTTGTTTATCTAGAAAATTCTAAGAGAGGACTATTTCATCTAACTCCAGGGAAATTAATGAGAAACATAAGGATTGAATTTTTGTTTGTTAAATGTGTTAAAAAATCAACTGGCAAAGTGTATTTTGAGTTTTCCCCAAACACAAATGTTTGAAAAATATTTTTAGGTATTTGACAAACAGAAAATAGAGCCAGATCCTCACTAAGAGGAATGACATTAAAAATCATAGCAAGGACACCTCTGCAGTTATGGTCATTCTGCGAATAGAAAGCAGAGCTCACGGGGTGCCTGAGTAGCTCAGTTGGTTAAGTGTCTGCCTTCTGCTTGGTTCATGATCCTAGGGTCCTGGGATCAAACCCCACATTGGGCTCCCTGCTCAGCAGGGGAGTCTGCTTCTCCCTCTCCCTCCTTCCCCACTTGTGCTCTCTCTCTCTCTGTATGTCTCTCAAATAAATAAATAAAATCTTTAAAAAAAAGAAAGAAAGAAAGCAGAGCTCAGGGCCACTTTATTCCAGGCATAAGATGCAGGTGAGGGGAGGTGCATACACACTTCCAGTATGTTTATTTGGAAACACAGATTGGTTACACTATTTATATATTAGCAAACAATTTGGATGTGATTCAGATCTTACATTTGCTTATACCCTTCTCATCATCAGGAAACATTAGGTGAATATAGGAAACTGAACTCAGTCAAACTGAGCCCCATGGAAATACACTATACCCGTACACATGCCCACATCAAATACCACACCACATCAGACTTCGCAGCTATGCTAGGAGCCACACCTCTCTGCATCTGTAGTTAAACCATCTTCCAATTTCAGGTAACACTCCTCACACTACTTCTGATAGCTCACAACCCATCTGACACCCACCTCCACAAGCAAGTTTAAGATTTTTTTAAGTACCATGTTTATTATAGCATTTAAGTATTCCTTAAACATATAGCATGTATAATGCAATGTTACCACTTTTATTAGGTCCTTAGGATATTTTTAAGATGTTGCCAGTGACATTTGAGCTTTGTGCCCCTAACCCTATGTTTCCCCTAAAGTAGGAATAGAAGAGACTGAATTGTTTCAATTTAATTCAGTCCAAAAAGTATTTATAAGGACATACTTTATGCTTGATCTTGGACAAGCACTGGGGATAGAATTGAGTAAAATTGAATCTCAGACCTCACAGAGCTCAGAGACCTTTGAGAAATAGAAAGAATAAATAAATAAATAAATACATACATACATAAATAAATAAATAAATAAATAAATAAATAAATAATAAGTAAATCTGATTAGAAGGTTTACGAGAATTTCACCAGGGTTACACCCAAGCCAGTAAAATGGGGACCCAACTCTATAGACATCTAGGCAAGTGATCTGCTCCATCTCCTCCAGCCCTGTGCAGTCTTCCCTTTCACAAGTTGCTGGCCTCAGGGAGAGATTAGCTTCCAAAGCTTCTTGGCCTCGTGACCCCAACTGCCATTTTCCCCACTAGCCATTTCCTCTTCCAAATTGTTCCTTCCTTGTATCTCAGTTTATGGAATCAGTGCTTTCACTTTGGAAATTAGTAAACCCATTGTAAAAGATCTGTGCTAAAGGGAAGGTCCAAAGGAAATTGTTCAGGACTCCTCTCATCACAGACTCAATGCATTGCAAGAATGGCTTTTAGATAACATGGTTGAATATTGTCCTATCCCTAAAAGTGAAAATAATGGGAAAATTTCAAATTGGAAAGGAAGAAACACCTCTCCTCCCCAGCTAGTACGTAGCTCCCTCTGTCTTCTCAATGTCACCTAAATTGAGAATAGACCAGGCCTCTAATCAAATTAATCCTGGTCATTGGGAATTAAGAATTTGCCTGTATAACCATTCTAAATCCAAAAGAGTGCATTATTTTTAGACATCTGTCCTATTCTTAAAGCAGAAGAGAAATGATCTAGCATAAATGAGAACAGTTTATACATATTTTAGTTCATGATTTGGGACCATCAGGAATAGTGGAAATTATCAGGAAGGCTAAAGCTAGGAGCTCGTCATTCTAGATTGGTTTCTTCTCTTGCCTTGGTGACTCCACTTAATACAGTCATATGTACTAAGCAGTATCTCCTTTGTCTGTAAAATCAAGACTGTCATCTCTACACATCCAGCCACAAAATCATCTTAGAAAAGAATGAGAAGATATGGGAAAATATGGAGGAAAATCCCCTTTAAAGGGTAAAGCACAGAATAAAACCAGGAAGCACTATAATAATTGTCTGTAATATTTGCCATAATCAAGAACAACCTTTTCAACAATTTTATTTCTGAGACCTTGTCTCTATGTCACAATACCTGCTCAATAATTGATGTCACCAATAGCTCTTTTGCACTAAAGGTTGACAAAGGGCCAGATGAGAAGAAGAATATGAAATGGAGGGGAAACGAGGGGGTGAAGAATCACCGGAGAGTGAGAACAACATTGTATGGGGCAGTCCTCCCACTCTGTGGATCAGCAGCCTTGCCGAGACTGGGCCAACATCACACCAAACACATGGCTGGGAAGGAAAGAAACAAAGCACCATCTGCTCCACCATTCCTGCAGGCTTTAAATAAGCAAACCCATGTTGTCATTACATTTTAGGCACCACTCATATCTCTGCCTTCTGACAGTATGTCTGCACAACACTAAATCCAACAATCAGTTCCTCCAAAAGTGCAGTGGATGTTTATCTGTATTTACATGAGGAAAGAGGAAAGGGTGAAGAAACTCAGGTGGGCAGAGTGATGTTTGAAATTTGGGGAAAACACACTAAGGGACTAAAGTCAGGCTTTCAAGAGGACACACACCTGAGACAGATCTTCATAATTTTACTAGAATATCATTTTCCACACTTGATGGATGCATTGGCATAGTAGAATATTTTCAAAACACACTCTTAAAAAGCCCATGGATGGGGCTTGTCTTTAAAAGATATTTCACAGGGTTGCCTGGGTGGCTCAGTTGGTTGTGTTGGACTCTTGGTTTTGGCTCAGGTCATCATCTCAGAGTCCTGAGATCAAGCCCCATATTGGACTCCACACTTCTCTCTCCCTCTTCCTCAGCCCCTCCCTCTCTTGCTCGGGTGCTCTGTCTCTCTCTCTCTCTCAAATAAATAAATAAATCTTTAAAAAAATAAAAGATTTTTTTTTTGCAAAAAGGAGATAAAGTTAAAAGGCTATTATTAAAAAACGCAAACTCATGTGTGACTTATTAATTCTCCATTTTTCCTCAGCAGATAACCTCTTTGCCATCTTTACTGTTTTCCTTTATAAGGTAAAGGCCACTTCCTACTCCACCCCATGCCCAGGCAGATAAAAATCCATGCCTATGAGTATGATGGAAAGTAGCTCAGCTATTTCTAATCAGTAACTGCTGAACAACACCATTCTTATTTGCAAATGACTTAGCCTTACATTCATAGACTAAGAGGATACCAAAACTCAAGGAACCTCTGAAGTGGTGAAATTCAAGCCCTTCACTTTACAAATGAGGACCTCAGGGTTTAGGGAGATGATGAGTCTGCTCAGGATTATTCAGTTCACTGAGGGACTAGCCTGGACCAAAGCTCAGATTTCCTTACTCCCAGATGGTGACCACTGGCTCAGAGTTACCTGCCATGTCTGCATAAGTCCGGTAATCATTATTACATTATTTTTCATAACACTTGTTTTAATGAATAACTTTCTTTGTGCAAAAGGAAGGGCAGAG